ATAACTGCTATATTTTTCATTCTCATCTTTACAAAAATGAAAAACAAACGCCCCTATTATGCCCGCTTCTGAATGTCCTCATGCTACATGCCAAAACAAGAGGATAACGTTACATGTCTCAAGCTTTCAATTCGTGTCTTGTTCTCTCCTCTTCGACCTTATCCTCATCATTTTGAAAGTAACTTTTTGACTTTTTGGAAAAAAGAAAAAAATAGCAACAGAAATACGCATTAATTTTGGATGTCACTGTCAATAAAAAAATGCTTGTTGCTTTCAACAATTGGAGTTCTAATAATAATTTTCTTTTATTACTTTTCATTTCTTTTATTGAATTAATGAAAGTTCAAGTCATAATCCATGGCACTGTTATCAACAAATTTGAAATTGACTATTTATATAAATTATGCTCAATTATAACGATTTAATTGTATGATTTTTCACAAAATAGTATTAAATTTACAACTTGAAGCTTGAGAAGTTGACTAGAACACATCCAATAATGTAATAAATTATTTGATTTCCAATTCTCTTTACCCAAGTAAATATTTACTCAACAATAATTGCTGGCTCTTCTGGCCATATGCCATTGTCCAATTAAGTTAAAACAAGAGCCAAATTCTTTATAAATAAAAAACAGATCTCTAGTTGACTTGGCCGGAAATAAATGCGAATTCACCACGGCTTCTGCTTGTGATATTTGATGATAAAAGGATAAATATTGATTATCATATTATTTGATATTCAAGGTTGTTTTATAAATATGTATGCATCTGCATAGTGTAGAAGTGTAGCAGTCGATAAACAATGACTTCAATAACCATGAAGCCTCACGCTGTAGTAATTCCATACCCTGCACAAGGCCACATAGCCCCAGTGCTAAAATTGGCCAAACTTCTTCACTTCCGGGGATTCTTCATCACTTTTGTCAACACAGAGTACAACCACAATCGCCTCGTTCGATCCCGGGGACCGGATTCCGTTAAGGGCCTAGAGGATTTCCAGTTCAAAACCATCCCTGATGGTCTCCCTTCCTCAGATAAAGATGCTACACAAGATATACCTGCGCTTTGTGATTCAGTTAAGAATAATTGTTTGCCATACTTTTTGGATCTCATCAACAACCTTAATGAATCGCCCGATTGTCCGAATGTTAGTTGCATAGTTTCTGATGGGGTCATGAGTTTTACTTTGGATGCTGCTGAGAAACTAAACATTCCTGAAGTCGTGTTTTTCACGACAAGTGCTTGTGGATTCATGGCATATTGTCACTATGTTGAACTTGTAAAAAGAGGGTACTTTCCACTTAAAGGTATAGCTACCTATTTTATATCGAGATCTGTACTTTTTTAGGGTACGTTTAGTATCCAGTGTTTTACGAGGCTAATTTGAGGTTTGATTTGCAGATGAGAGCTGGATAACTAACGGCTATCTTGATACAAAGCTCGATTGGGTTCCGGGGATGAGAGATATTCGACTCAGAGACTTTCCAAGTTTCATTCGAACAACTGATCCAAGAGATATTATGGTCAACTACAACATTCTGCAAACGAGGAATGCATCGAGGGCCAAGGCAGTGATAATTAATACTTACGATGACTTAGAGAAAGAAGTTCTTGAGGCCATTCGAGAAAAATTTGAACGTGTTTGCACCATTGGTCCACTCCAATTGCTCGAGCACGAAATAAACAATCCTAAACTCAAATCCATAGGCTCGAGCCTGTGGAAAGAAGACGACGCCTGCATCGAGTGGCTCGATCAAAAACCACCAAATTCTGTTCTTTATGTTAACTTTGGCAGCATTACTGTTTTGTCAGCCAAACAGCTGCTGGAATTTGCATGGGGACTTGCCAATAGCAATCAGCAATTTTTATGGATAATTAGGCCGGACTTAGTAAGTGGCGAAAGCGCGATTTTCCCAGAAGAATACTTGAGAGAAGTCGAAGGGAGAGCCCTCTTTGTGGAGTGGTGTAATCAAGAACAAGTTTTATCCCATCCTTCCGTTGGAGGGTTCTTGACACATTGTGGATGGAATTCGACTATAGAGTGTATATCGGAAGGGGTGCCGATGATTTGCTGGCCGTTTTTCGCTGAACAACAAACGAATTGTCGATATGCATGTACCGAGTGGGAGATCGGATTAGAAATCGAGGGTGATGTGACAAGAGAAAAAGTGGCAAAATTGGTGAAAGTTTTAATGGAGGGAGAGAAAGGAAAGGAAATGGGGAAAAAGGCCTTGGAATGGAAAGAGAAGGCTCGATTGGCAGTTAAGCCTGGTGGCTCTTCTTACCAGAATTTGGTGTATTTGATTAATGAGATTCTTCTTAAGAATTAGTTGTTTGATTTCATGTTTTTTTTAAGTATTCTTGTATTCCATGTTTCCAACGTTTGTATCCAATGACAAGTCACAATTCTAGCACTACTTTTCTGTACCTCGTATCAATTAAGGCATGATCTATTTTCCAATTTATGTTTTATTTTTTGGAAATTGTAACTCAAGTCCCATGTTTGATACCATAAATTAGACATAATTAGATATAATAATGGTTATATTAAACATTATTAGACATTTTACTTTTCACCCTTCTTTGTTCTTTACAAAAAGTTAAATTACTATTTAATTTTTTTTCCATTAAAAAAAATCAATTGTTTTCATTCTCATTCATTTATTCTTCATTAAATTAACATTCAGTTGGGTCCACTTACTCTATTGTACACATAATTTTTTTTTTTTTTTGACAAAAAAAATATATTTTTTCATTAGTTATATTTATATGTTATTCTCTTCTATGAAACTTTCTCTAGCAGAAGTGAAAAAAACAAAAATAAAAATTGTGAGTTAAAATAAAACAATTAAGATTTTTTATTTTTTTACAATGTTGAAAAAAATATTGAATGAAAAATCAATAATTAAAAAATAATATGTTCCTATCTTAATTTCCCAATGGGAGGATGGAACATTTCTGCCATCGTTATCTCCTCTTCCTAGTACAATTAGAGATTCATTTCCTTTCTTTTTCTGGTTCTGGTGAGATCAACATTTTTTTTTCCAAATACGAAAAGACATCAACTTTGGCATTTAACAAATAACTGAATACGCAAACTACTTCCAATTCCAAACTCCATTTTCTTTTGCGAATTCTCATCTACTCTTCAACCTAACAAAGACTCTCAGGCACGTGTCTTTAACATTATTTGGAAGATTAATTGCACTTAGTCGTCACCTTTCTTTTCTCCAGAAATGACATATTTGT